GTTTGGCTGCTGTGTGGAAAGTACATTATAAAGAGCCAAGAGTGGAACAGGGAGACCAGTGAAGAGGCTGTTGAGGTGACTTGAGATGATGGGTGTGGCTTAGGCTAAAAAATGCAGAAAGGTGGATGAGATAAAGTTTGAAGCAGAGCCAAGAGGACTTCCCAACAGACTGGACGTGGCTTAAGGGACAGTGATGAACAAGGAACTAGGTTTCTGGTCTGTGCAACAGGAAATGGTGGGGCCATCAACATTTGGCAGATTTGATTACTTTCTCCTTCTAAAAATAGTCTCTTCTTCATAACAGTGCGTTTCATTTAAATCTACAATCCTGCTCCACCCAATTGCCCATTCATTATAGACTTAAATGTCTTGTCAAAATCCAAAATATAACTCCAGACTGCTCCCAACCGTGATGTGCTTAAGCAAATCTGCTCTGCCTACAGCCTTCCTCATCCTTCGGGAGTCCCCACTCCACCCACTGACCCCTGCTTTATATCTGCCTTACTTATCTCAAGCTGCTTCCTATTTAGTTTCCCTACTTTTTTGTGGCTGGTGATTTATACTTATCAAATAATTGTAGCTATAATTTACTGAATGCTTTCTGTGCCTAGACACTACTCATGAATTATCTCATTTAGTTCTCTATAAGCTTACCAAGTAGATATTATCTCCACTTGATCAAGAAAAACAAAGCACAGAGAAGAAACGTATCCAAGGTTTAAAAACTCAGTTCTCAAGCTGAGATTCAAACTCAGCTATTTACCACTATCAACTGCTAGAATAAATTGGTCCTATGTGCAACAACACAGTACATGTGCAGTCACTTTCATGGCAAATGTGTGCCTATGAAACAGCCATGTTGGGTAGAGAGCTTGAAAATAGGAAAGGTTTTAGAGTCCCTTTTTCGTAAAGTCAAAATTTCAGAGTTGAACGAGTCCTTAAAGATTCAGTTACACTCACCCCTCCTTTTTGCAGATGTGGAACCTAAGGCCAAGAAACTGCGCGACTCACCCAAGGGCAAAGAGCCATTTGGCAGAGCTGGGAATTGAACCCAGGTCTTCTGCCTCCCTAACTCTTTGCAATGTACAGTCATTTCATTCACTCAACAAGTATCTAAATGTCTACACACTTGCAAGCATTGGAAATGTAAGAGAGACCAGAAGGAACCCACATCTTAATTACTGGACATTTTTAAAGTGCTTGCCCTAACGCAGCTCATAATCTACTCCCCGCTTTCCAGTCACCCTCCCTTCCTCTCTCTTAGATACGGGGATGTATGTTGAGTGGGAGACATGCCTTTGTTGTGAAAGGCAGCACAAAAACTGCTGAAGCACATAGTCTGAGAACACACACAGCTGCCAGCCTTTAAGTTAATCTGAATGAAAGAACGAGCCCCTATGGTGGAAAAATGAGCTGTTAGGGAAATAGCAGTCAACCTGAAGTTAGTGACCATGAGACCAATCCTACTTCTATTTACTTGGTGTGAGCTGTGTTTGGAGAGTTGGCTCCCTTCTTTGAACCACATCCATAAAATGGGTTATGCGCCACAGCAAGAGATGCAAACTCACATGCTTACAGGGGACAAACAATACACTTACAAGTGAAGCTGAACTGCTGGAAAGGATGGCAAAGTAGAGAGCCCATGGTCTGTGTAAACAAGGCAGCCTCTACTTAGCTCCAATATGGGGGTGTCTGACTTTTCTATTTCTCAAAAGACAGAGATCAGAAACTATGTCAAACTCTATACGAAATTTCTAGATGGAGGTGGGGGTCACATTTACCCCTAACTTCTCATTATTAAAAATTTCAAACATACAGAAAAGTAGAAGTAGTAGTAATAATTTGCCATTTTGTCCTATTTGCTTTACCCATATACATACACCATGGCATTTCCCGCCTTTAACATGCATGTCCAAAAGAGGACATTCTCCATAACCATACTATTAGCACATCGAGAAAATAATTCCCAAATATCATCTAATAGGACTGAATGTTCTAATTTCCCCCATTCTCTAAAAAAATGTTTTATTCTGTAAGTTTTCTTTTTGAATCAGGACTCAATCAAGGTTCACACCTTGCATCTGGCTCCACCTCTTTTTAAAATTTCTTTTATAAAGACTTTATTCATTTTTAGAGAGGGGATGGGAGGGGGAAAGACAGAGAGAGCAACATCGATGCGCATGTGCACTTGTAAAAGAGAAACATCAGTCGGCTACCTCTCTCATGCCTCTCAAATGAGGATGGGGCCCGCAACAGGGGCATGTGCCCTGACCTGGAATCAAACCGGTGACCTTCCGATTTGCAGGACACCACCCAGCTCACTGAGCCACAGCAGCCAGGGCAGCTCCGCCTCTTTACTGAGTCTACAACAATGGCTTCACTTCTTTTTCCCTTGACAGTGGCTTCTGCAATTGTCTTGTAAAATCTACCATTTATCTCAATGGTGTCCTTTATTTTGTCCCTCTGTTCTCTAAAAGCGTAATGAGAGTAACAGATACTGAGCAGGAAAACTTCAAAGATGATGGACTGTTATTTCCCCATATGAGAAAGCACATTATTAATAATCACCTCCAAATAAGTTCTTATTTCTCTTTTGTTTGAATATTACCTTGGTCTTATGAATTCTAAGTTACTAATATTTTAAAATGAAGTTGATGTTATTCTTTCCGATGCTCAAATTGTCCCAAACTTGGCCAATTTCTAGATTCTTAAATGCTGGCAACTAATTTCAAAAAATGTAAAACACTGTATGAGAGATACAGTCCAGTTTTTAACCTCTAGACTGTGCAGGTTCCATGGGAAGGCCCTTTTTGATATTATTGCTCTCCCTTCCAGTTATTGGCCAGCATTGTTCATCCAACATCTCAGTCAGAGGCAAAACTGGAGGCAGAATGCAGCCTGCTGATTCCCAGGCCATCTTGCGTTTCACAAAGGAGCCCCAGTCCCCAGAGTTTTCCTATCCCACCTGGAGTTCCCTTAGAGGCAAGTCAATCTGCTTTCCTGTCTATACAAGGGAGGAAGTCACCGCTCTTCCTTCCTACTCCAGAGCCCTGCTGTGAGACTCAGTTGAAAAATGGACATGACAAAAAACAAAAAATAGGAGCCCTGACTGGCTCAGTGGGTTGGGCGTCGTCCCACAAAGGGAAAGATAACCGGTTCCATTCCCTGCCAGGGTTCATGCCTAGGTTGTGGGTTGAGTTCCCAGTCAGTTGGGGCGCATATAAAATGTTGATGTTTCTCTTTCTCCCTCCCTTCCCCTCTCTCTAAAAAACATACAGATTTTTTTTTAAATAGGACAAAAAAAAAGAGGGGGAAAGAAAAATGGACCTAAGAGCACTTTAATAAAATCTGTAAGACTATCTACAAATATTTTCCCAATCATAGATTGCCCCTTCCTTCCCTCCCAGGACTCTCAGCCATTCCTTTTCACGGGCTTCACGGAGTTCCATACATCCCCACTACCTCAGCAAAACTCCCACCTCCCAAGAGTTCCGGAGCCTTCCAGCAGCACCTGCTAAAAATCAGTCCACCCCACCTGTGTCTTCAGGCCCAGTCTCAGTCATCCCCGAATCCTGCCTCAGACCTGGCACACTGGCTCTCAGCAAATCCTGTCCCCTCGGCCCTCAAAACAGATCCAGAATACATTATTTGACCCCTTCTCCTGAGTTCCTAACCCCGTATGTCTCAAGTGGATACTGTAGTAAATGCTGCAGTCGTCTCCCAACTGGAACCCTCATGTCCACTTCTGCCCACTTCAACCTATTCTCCACACAGCAAGAATGGTCCTTTTACAGCACAAATCAGCTTATGTTACTCCTACTCAAAACTCTCCAACAGGTTTCGCTGCACACTTAAGAGTAGTAACAAATAAAAAAGCTATTCCTCAACTCATTTGGTTCCAGCCCCCTTGTGTAATTTGCCAAGCATCGCTGGCCTCCGGGACTGTCCATTCGCTGTGCTCTAAGGCAGGAAGGTCCTCGCACCCGGCTTTTTCCGTTTAGACAGGTCTGAGGAACAACGTTACCCCTTCAGAGAGACCTTCCCTGGCCACCCTATCAAAACAGCTCTCCACTGCACCATCCTTTAGTGATCTCCTTATCCTGCGTTATTTCCCCCCCTCCCCATGAACCTGCATTACCCGACTTTATATTATTGGGTTTGTCGCCAACACTAGAATACAAGCTCCATACGAGCAAGGGTTTCGTTTAGTCCAGGGGTATATATTCCATGCCAAGAACAGTGATTGCGGAAGGTGCGCAATAAGTATCTGATCAATCATCTCTTTCAAAGACCTCATTCCCTCTGGTAACTATTCCGCGATATCTCAGGTATGCCCAACCTCAGCGTGCTGTCCTCTGGACACATCCCCATACCTACACAAAAGCAACCTGTGCGAGTATCTCCAGCACCCCCCTAGACTCTCTGAGCCTCTCAAGACTCCCACTAAAATTAACTTGGCCCCAAACTCCTCAAAAACCCTCTTTCTTTCAGACTGGCCCACCCCTTAGAAGCGACACGAATGTAAGGTGCATGTCTGGTTCGCCAGTCTTCCCCCGCGTGCAGCAAAGACCGGGGTCCCCACTATTTAGTAATGAATGAACTACGCTCCCCTCCCCCACCTTCATCCTTTCCAGGAATTCCCGGCCCCTCCTATTTCCTAAGCCCCCACCCCCGTCCTAAACTCCACCATCACCCCTCTCGGGCGTCCGCGTCGCTAAGTTTGAATCCTCTTAATTCCTTAGGACTCCGCCCCCTCCCCCAGAGGCCTCCAATCTCTCAGAACGACCCTCTCACCCCCCGGGATGTCCCCGTTTCCCACACTTTCCCGAAACATCCCAAATCAACCCTTGCAGTCGTCTCAGGACGGTTACCATCACCGGGTACAGAATTCCCGCCTCCTCTCTTCAAACTAGCCCCTCCCGCTCCCTGAGGGCCACGAATGCCTCAGGCCAGAAGCCCCCTCCAGACCCCTCGGCCCCACAAGCTGCACCAGCCCTGACCGTTTCTGGGCCTCCAATCCCCAGAGACGGATCTGCCGGTCATACTGCGCCGCCTCCTCCTCGCTGATGCCGCCGCCAGCCTCCTCCTTCTCCACCATGGCGCCGGCTCCTGCTGCCTGCACTCCGGCTCTGCTCACGCCAACCGCCGCCGGCCGCGCACCCTGGGCGCGTCTGCGCCTGCGCTTAAGACCGAGCCTGCGCAGTAACTCCTCCGAGGCCGGGACCTCCTGTGCAGCCTGAGACCACGTGGACCTCTCCAGCTTCAAAGGCGAACGGCGACTGCCAGTCACGTGACAGAGACTCCAGCCAATCCTAGCCCCCAAATAGCCCGGCCTTTGGCCCCCGCGAAGATACCCAAATAATCATAATAAGACTATTCATTCATCAGGTATTTGTGGAGCGTCTGCTCTGGAGGGGTTGTGAAGTAGAGTGGTGAAGAAAATAGACGAGGCCCTGCTCTCATGGAGCTTACCTTAGGATGAAGAGGGCCCAAAGAAAAATAAATATAAATCAGATCAAGCTAAATGCTTTGGAGAAAAATAAAGCAGGGTATGGGACCCCAGGGTGACAGGAGTGGCCGGGGAATGTCTCTCAGGAAGGGAGGCAACGAGTAGAGATCTGAAGAGACAAACTATGTGACTAACTGGAAGACGGCTCATTTCCAGGCAGGGGAACAGCAGGTGCAAAGGCTCTGGAGCTGGAGCGTGCTGACAGAGCTGAACTGTGGAGGGGGCTGGGTGGTTGGAGGAGAGTGAGGGGTGCCAAGCGGTGAGAGATTAAATCATAGATGAAGCAGATGGGGGATCATGTAGGGTCTTGTAGGCTGGTAAAAGCTAATACGTATTTTCCTTAGGCAAGGTGCCTTTTTATTATTTATTTAGTAAGTACTCATTGAGCACTTGCTCTGTGCTAGGGAGAGAGCAGTAAAAAAGAAAGAAAAGAACCTATGGACAAAGACAACGGGGTGGGGGAGAGGATTGAAAGTGGAAGGTGGGGGGGCTAGGGCAGGGAAGAGTAGAAATGGGACAGGTGTAACTGAACAAGAATTAAAAATTGTACAAAAAGAAAGAAAATAGCTGCCTTCTCATGGAGTTTAAATAGCCTTCATATGGGTTATTTCTATAATTCTTACAAAATTAGATATGTTCTTTAATATTTCCACTTCATAGATAAAAAGTCTAAGCTCCACCAAAGTTAAGCATTAGCAGCCTGAACAAAGCCTTATATCTTAGAAATAGTGAAACTAGGAGTCAGACTTAGGCTCTGTGGCCCGCATCATGAGGAGGTATTACTGCTGGTGGTATATTAAGCTGATACTATGTGATCTGCTCCTGCCTCATGAGGTACATATTCTGTATACCTCAGGGGTGGACATTTCATCCCCTTTTGAAGATAACAACTCTAGGGCTCAGAAAGGGATAGAAATTCATCCAGGGTCACAATATCATTTAAAAAATAATTTTGCCCAATGCCCACTCTATTGGCTATGATATGCAACAAATTACGTGAAAATTGAGGGACTTCATAAACAGTTATTATCTCTTATAGTTTATGTGGGTCAGGAATTCAGAAGCAGTTTGGGAAGTTCTTTTTTTTTAATTTTATTTTTTATTTTTAGAGAGAGTGGAAGAAAGGGAGAAAGAGAGGGGAACGAAGGGAGAGATTTTATCTCGGTTCCCTCTCACCCGCCCCCAGCCTGTGACCTTTAGGCTCATAGGCCAATACTCAATCTACTTAGTCACATCAGCCACGGAGGCTGGCAAGTTCTAGTTCAAAGCCTCTCATGAGAGTGCAGTCAGGTGTCACCTTTGGCTGCAGTCATCAGATGGCATGTGGCGCAACAGCCTCTTCCAAGGTGACTCACTTACATGGCTGGCAAGTTGATGTTGATTGATGGCTGGGGACCTCAGTTCCCCAGGCCAATCTTTGGGGTCCATATGAAGCAGCAATTCCACTCTTAGAAATATACCCAGAGAAATTGAGAACAGGGACTCAAACAGACACTTGTATGACAATCTTCATCGCAGCATTATCCACAGCAGCCCAAGTTGGGATAACCCACTCCATCCATCAGCTGATGAATGAATGAACAAAGTGGGGTCTATCCGGACAATGGAATACTATTCAGCCATAAAAAAAAAAGAATGAAGAGCCCTGGCTGGTGTGGCTCAGTGGATTGAGTGCCGGCCTGTAAACCAAAGGGTTGCTGGTTCAATTCCCAGTCAGGGCACAGGCCTGGGTTGCGGGCTAGGTCCCCAGTGGGGGACATGTGAGAAGCAATGACACATGGATGTTTCTCTCCCTCCCTTTTTCCCTCCCTTCCCCTGTCTCTAAAAATAAATAAATAAAATCTTTAAAAAAAAAGAAGAAGAAGAACATGCTACAACATGAGGAACCTTTAAAACATCATGGTAAGTGAAAGAGCCCAGACACAAAAGGTGATGAAAAAAGGTAGTGCTGACGGTTGCGTAAAAATGTGCATGTACTTAATGTCGCTGATTTGTATGCCTAAAAAATGGTTAAAATAGCCCTGACCAAGGTGGCTCAGTGGGTTGGGCATCATCCCACAGACCAAAAGGTCGCCAGTTCAGTTGCTGGTCAGGGTACATGCCTGGGTTGCAGGCCAGGTCCCCAGCTGGGGGGCGTGCGAGAGGAAGCAGATTGATGTTTCTCTTGCACGTGCACACGTGTACAATGATGTTTCTCTCCCTCCCACCTCCTCTCTCTAAATAAATAATAAATAAATTATTTAATTACAGCACGTGACCATTGCACTTTGAGGCAAATAGAGAACGTAAAGCATTCAGGATACAAGTCAACTCTTCCAGAATGAGCATCGCTTTGCTTAGATTGATTTAAAGCTCTGTTTGAAATGAGCAAGCTTGGGAAGCACGCGCCTCTCACATTGGTAATGTTTTTTCCAACTACTGCTTGGCCCCCTAGGCCAGGCCCTTTCCTAACTGCTTTCCTGACCCCTGATCCAGCCTCCAACCATGACCTTTCCCCTTATTCTATTCCAGAGGGTGAGATAAGGGGGTCCAGGTGGGTTGAAGCTCGGGGACAATGAGAATAGTTGACACTATTTGGTAATTTTTATTTTATTTTGTCACAAAGTTTTGTCTTGACAATTGTTCCAGTTTACAAAAAGAAACTTTCCAGTGAATAGTCATATATCATTTATCCCGATTCATTGCAGAGAAAAGTTTTGAGAACTACAAATCGCACCAGGAAACTTCAGTAGGCCACATTCTCTTAAACATTTCGAGCATATAAAAAGCCAAATACAGCCCTGGCTGGTGTGGCTCAGTGGATTGATAGCAGGCCTGATTCCCAGTCAAGGCACATGCCTGGATTGCGGGCAGGGTCCCCAGGAGGGGGCGCAAGAGAAGCAACCACACATTGATGTTTCCCTCTCTCTCCCAGCCTTCCCCTCTCTAAAAATAAATAAATAAAGTCTTTTTTTTAAAAAGCCAAACATGCACAAATTTCTTCATCCGAAACATTAATTCCAGAGATCTGAGTCATGTGAACATTTCTATATTTAACTCCAAGTATTCCCAAGGTTAAATGATGCCAACCAAGGAAGTAATGAAGGGGTTTCACTAAGTTCCCTTGATCGTTGCTGCAGCCGATTGCATTTGACAAAGATGGCTACAACACTATCTCCTGTCCTACATGCTCTTGTAACATCTCTTTGAGGCCACTCCTTTTGAGGGGGTGGGACGATATATGTTCCCTTCCCTTGAAACTGGACTGGCTTTGGCAACTGACCAAAAGAACGTGGCAGAAAGGACACTAACTTCCTAGCTAAGTCAGGGAAGGGGAGGCTGCTTCCACCCTCCTCATGGGAACACCTGAGTTTTGAACGCTGACAAAGCAGATGAGGAGTCCCACCCCCTTGAGGCTGCATGTTGACAGGAATCCCAACCAGCCCACAAGGAGGACCTATACGGAGACGCCCTGAAATGACCCAAAGACAGAGAGATGCCTGCCCAGCCCCTTTCGCTGTGCCAGCTCCAGCCATGTAGTCAGTGACCTCATGAGGCATCCCAGGCCAGGACAAGCCAGCAAAGCCTTTCTGGAATTTCTGACCCACAGGTACTGTGAGAGATAATGAAAAGAGAGGGTCAAGTCCATGGTGACGGAAGCACATTAGACTTCAGGTGGTGAGCACAAAATACAGTATACAGTACGTCATCTGATGAAGTTGTACGCCTGAAATTTATATAATGTTATTAACTCAGGTTTCCCCCCTAAATGTAATAACATTTTAAAAAGAAAAAAAATAATGGAATGATTGTTGCTGCTTCAAGCTACTAAATTTTCAGGCCATTTTTTAAAAAGAGGTTTCATTTATTTATTTTTAGAGGGATGGGAAGGGAGGGAGAAGGAGAGGGGAGAGAAACATTGATGTGTGAGAGACACATAGACCTTTTGCACACCCCCAACCTGGGACCAACCCAGGCCTGTGTCCTGACCAGGAATCAAACCAGCAACCTTTTGGTTCACAGGCCAACACTCAATCCACTGAGTCACAGCTGTCAGGTACAGAGCACTCTTTTAAAAATTGTGGTAAAATATACATACTTTAAAATGTACCATCTTACCCATTTCTGAATGTACAGTTCAGTAGTATTAAGTATATTTACTTCTATGGTTGTGAGACCAATCTCAAGAACTTTTTCATCTTGCAAAACGAAAACTATAACCATTAAACAACTCCCAGCCCCGGCTGGTGTGGCTCAGTGGATTGAGCGCTGGCCTGCGAACCAAAAGGTTGCCAGTTCATTTCCCAGTCAGGGCACAGGTCTGGGTTGTGGGCCAGGTCCCCCAGTAGGGGGCACACGAAATGCACCCACACATTGATGTTTCTCTCCCTCTTTCTCCTTCACTTCCCCCCTCTAAAAATAAGTAAATAAAATAACAATTAAAAAAAAACAACAAACTCCCAATTTCCCCCTCCATGTGGTCCTGGCAACTATCATTTGACTTCTGTTTCCATGATTTTGACTATTCCAGATACCTCATATTAGTGAAATTATATAGCATTTGTCTTTTTGTGACTGTCTTATTTCACTTAGCACAATGTCCACAAGGTTTATCCATGTGTAGCATGTGTCAGAATTTCCTTCCTTTTTAAGGCTGAATTATTCCATTATAAGTATAG